ATATTATATATATATATTATCAAACCATATATTATCATATAATATATGGATAAAAACAATGATGAGTATTATATTTTAGATTCCAACATATCTTCAATCACAGCCAGAATTTTGACGCCCGCCAGCACTTGGGTCGAAGAAAAGTTTCAAAAAAGCACTTGGGCCAAAACTCTTGGAGGCCAAGCGACAACAACTTAAAGGTTATTGAAAAAAAACACCTGCAGGATGGGGCCCCCAAGATAGCTAAGTTGGTTTTTAAGTGGTTTAACTATGGTTTATGGTAGATATAACGAACTAGTTAATGGGGATTATAATGGTTTATAAACCAACTTATAACTGGGGGGCCCCATCCTGTGAGTGCAATCAGAATTTTTCCTTTCCGAAAATCTCAGGGTACACATGCCGCATGGCGCCGCATGGCCTTTTCTTGTGATGCTTGGGAGAGGGTCACGTTGTCCTCAATCTTCTTGTTTTTCCTTGTGCCGAGACATCTTCAACAATAGTGGTTTAATAGGCCACATGCATAGGGCCTATGGGCTGCTGGGGGTTCACAACACCAAATCTACAAGCGGTGTTCAAAACCCGAGGCCATTCCACTCAATCCAGCTTGACAAAGAACTTGATTTCCCAGTTCATGGGATTATGATCATCCCCAATATATAAAGGGTAGCACAAGTGAGCCAGAAAAAATACCCAAATACCCAGCTCAGTATACTAGTTGGTTCATAGATTTCCCCGCATCATAGTCCCCAATCAATATCAATTACTGTATATAAGTAGTACCCTCTGGTAAACTAACATAGCTATTGAAAATGGCCATTCATAGTGGATTTACCCAGTAAAAATTGTGTTTTTCCATAGCTATGTTAGTTTACCAGAGGGTAAAAGTCTCAACAGATTCACCAATCAACGAAGCTATTTTTAATGGCTCAAATTCTATAAGCCCCGAACTCATCAACCCCAAGGTCTTTAGCAGCACTCATTCAAGGCCGAAAAACCCTCGGGCGCCTCGTTTTCCCATGTGACGTTGGCCCAAAAAATGGGGCGCAACAAAATTCAATGGTCACTTTTATGGGGCGAAAAGATCATGGAATCATGTACCAATGGATTTTGGAATGTTCCAAACATGTTTGGACAAACCCAAACATGACTTCATATAGGACAGCCGGACAGCCCCAATAACCGGGGCCATACTCACGAGGGATAATACGCAGCTACCAACTTGGATGGTCAAAAGAGCATAGGTTTCGAGGATCCAGTTGAAGTGATGGGCAATGCACTGAGGAAATGGGCAGAACATCATTGGCAGCGACATCAATATATGTTGCGAGGATCATCCCACGAATCGTAAGTGGTTGAAGAACCCTGGTTAGTAAGAAATGAAAGGGATCATTACAAAACCCCACTAACCACTTACTTTTAACCCGTTAAAGGGTGCTTTTGACTAATCCTGGTTATACGTGGTTATGGTAAATAACTTATAACATCTTACAACCCCAGTTAACTACTAAAAGGCATGATCCTCCAAGTGGATATGCCCAACACTGAAAAACTTCTGTGTTTCCGTGTCCTGGAAGTGTCCGTTTTGTCATAGGGGTACCTCCAGTCATCATCCATTTATCGATGGGATTTTCCATGAAATAAACCATCCAGCTATTAAGTAAGGTACCCCCATGACTATGCTCCACGAAATGAAGTCTGAATGCCTGTGAAAAGTCACTCAAGATCCCTTATCGGATCAAATTGAGAAAAAGTCACTGATACCGATTGTTCCCCTCATGATTCCTCCTCTCACAGCCGAGGCATCACTGAAGTCCAAAGTGGGCAGATCAACTGCCACATCTCCAGTGATTCTTGACTTTGGTGAGGAAATCTCTGACTTTGTCAGCATCTGCAGATGGAGTTTTGCTTATCTCTCCGATCACTTTCCCGATGAGGAACAAGTCATTGTTTGCATGTTTGGCCTTTTTGTGTGACATGAAAAAGAGACACAACTCCTGTCTTGTCCAAAATTCCTGCGTGGACTGCCAGAAGGCGGGATACTTTGCTTCTCATCCCAGCTTCTGAAAGGCTGAAGCTTCATCCACGTGTTCTTCAGAACCTTTGGGGGGGGTCCGAAAATAGGGGTACCCCCAAATCATCCATTTATAGATAGGATTCTCCATGAAATAAACCATCCAGCGATTTTTTGGTATCCCCATGACTAAAACCCCCAAATGGTGGATACCATGGCAATATGATGGATGGGGATACTAATCATCTATAAATCTAGGATTTGATATGTTATAAATCTAGGTTTTAATACCATATGGATACCACCATTTATATGGATTTGATATGATTTAATGGCTTTTAATGCCATATGGATACCACCATTTATATGGATTTGTCCATTGTAACTACCATCCCTTTGGGGGGGTACCACCATGGTTGACCCATCCACGCGAAAGACATGATGCCACCGGCCCAAGCCCAACGCCAAGGAACTTCTTGAGGACTACCGCCTCGGGAGGTTTCCACAGTCATGGCGGTACCCCAGGAGCTGGATGGTTTTGTCATGGAAAATCCGAAAATCACATGAATGATTGGACACCTCCATATGAAGAAAAAACGAAAAAAAATGAACCTCTGATTTCCAAGCGCATTACGTGTCCAGCAACCATTTGGGAAGATACGCTGCATGTCCAATGTTAGGAGCCCGCAGCTAGTGAGTTGGCCATGTTGTTTGCCATGGTCAAAACATGTTCTACGGGCTATGGTCATTCCCCATTATTAGAGATTCCCACCATGTTTGGATATGTTTGGTATATAAACCTATATAAAAATTCTAATCCCTTCCCACTAATAGAAAATACCACCCCAGAAACCATGGTTTAGAAAGTCTAGTAGGTGATCTACGCATAGAATGCGGGTGTTTAATCTGAACGGGGGATGGGATTACGAATAGGGTATATCACCCACCCCTGAGATATGTTTCGACCATGACAGGTCCGTCCACTAAGCTTCCACACCTCCTGTTCTGCTTCCTTCCTTTCCTGCTCTGCTAGCACCTGCGTGGGATGAAGTGGCAAACATTCCGTTCTAAGTTAGACATCCCCACAATGTGGGGCCCCCGGAGTTGTGTTTCTTGGTTTACAACTGCCATAGACCCTCAACCAAAGTAGCTAATCTTAGCTATCTAATTCGGGAGCCTCACTTTGCAAATTCCCAATTTATCCAATTTCAATGAACAATCCTTGGACAATGGGCGACGACGCGAAGATGTTTTCGCGACGCCAGTGGGCCAGGCTTGCAGAGCGTCGTCACAGGAGAGCGATTGCTTGTTCCTGGGAGGCGCAAGTTAACCATCAAATCATGGGGAAAATGAGGGGAAATGATGATGAACCGGTGGATGGAATGGGCTAAATATGACTGGTTGGTGGTTGAGCCACCAACCCCTCTGAAAATATGAGTGAAAGTCAGTTGGGATTATGAAATTCCCAATATATGGAAAGATAAAAAATGTTCCAAACCATCAACCAGATGAAAAAAATAATGACCATGATGTGTTCGAAATGAAGCCCCAGAAGATGTTTGAAGTTACCCTGACGATCCCCTGATTGTGTTTCCTCATCCCCCGAGCTATTCGCACAGCGCGAATAGACCATCGCGATTTTTTGGCTGGGTCGAGGTTTGGCCACTTTCATGGGAGATTTCATCGTGAATTGCTGGTTGGTGGTTTCAACCCCTCTGAAACATATTAGTCAGTTGGGATTATTATTCCCAATATATGGAAATAAAAATGTTCCAAACCACCAACCAGATTGCGTATGGATTCTGATTCACTAGATCGGTATTGGCGGGAAATGTTGCAGGACGCCATGTTTCTTCGAACTAGATATAGAATAATATATAGGATTTTTGTCCATCGACTGTTTCATTAATAGGGGATGTCCCAGCCATGATTGGTTGCCGAAAGGTAGTCTCAAATACGGAGATACCCTCTGGTAAACTAACGTAACTATGGAAAATCACCATTTTTAATGAGTAAATCCACTATAAATGGCCATTTTCAATAGCTTTTTGTATGTTTACCAGAGGGTAGACTACCTGAAAGAATTATAGCTTACTGAGTATCTCCGAGGTTTCTCAACCTCCCATGTTTGAATAGAAGATGCCAAGTGTCAACAAGCAGCCTTGTTGAAAATGTCGTTCCCTGCGCGCCACAACAAAGCTGGTTGATGGGATTGCTTGGTAAGGTATACACTGGAAAGTAAACCTAGTCTATGTCTATTCACATTGAGTATTGATAGAGTTGATATTCCGATGATGTGAGTATGGCTAAAAAACAATCTAATGATATTGACCAACTTACCTATCTAGATGGGCCTTCCTGCACAACCCAAGATTTGAGTTCTTCGAAGCGTGAATCAACACAGCCTATGAGACTGGTCGATAAATCGCAACAGGATGTTTATAAGTTACATAAAACTATACACACAAGTACGCTTACAAATTACGTATATATGTGTATATATATATTAATTTCTTTGCATATTATATATAGATAGATTATACATATATATATATATATCATACAGTATATACATATATAATCATAATATCATATATATATATTCCCACCGGCACCGTTCGTAGCAATAAATCTCCATCTAGTTCCGGGATTTCAATTGCCATGTTTGATTATCGGAGGGTAATATGATAATGTGTTTTTAGGCAACGTAATGTGTTTTGGGTCTATATTCAATCTATCTACTTCAGGATGATTTATTTTATTATGGGCAGTATGTATATATATATATAGACATATTACAATATGTGAGTCCGCACTGGGTGACTGACCCTGATGGTTTACCACATAAACCTTCAACAGGATTCAACTGGGCAGTCTTCACATTTGCATGTCAAAAGTTGGAAGCTGGAAAATCACATACATGGAGGTTTTCATGGGAAAATAATCGATATTCATCGATAAATTGTTGATTCTTTAGGAGATTAACTGAATATACTGAATCAATGGATTGGTTTAAGGAAAATCGAAACCGGAAACCTCTACAATAGGTGGTAAAAAACCATGGTTTCCGGTTTCGATCTTCCCTTAAGACAATCAACAAAAAAATGTACTTTGAGTAGTCGAACCAAAGTGCAACCTCAACTGGGGATGGTGCCCCCCAGTTAAAAGTTGGTCTAAAAGGTCCGTTAAGGATAGATATATCATGAATTATCATGATATATCTACCATAAACCCTATACTTTATGATGGGGCACCACCCAGCATGACCACTAGCAGCGTCCAATGGGGGTGTTTTTGTTGGGGGGTTTCACACACAACCCAAATGAGAGTTCTGCCCGTCCAATTTCGACCCTTAAATGGTCGTAGGGTATCAGGTTGTACCCCATAGCAGTAGATAGCTACCCTCTGGTAAACTAACATAGCTATTGAAAATCACCATCTTTAATCGGTAAATCAACTATAAATGGGCTATTTTCAATAGCTATGTTAAATTACCAGAGGGTAAGTTGTTTACTCCAACAACTGTTGGGCATGGCATGGCATGGCCACGTACACGTTTGCACCTCGTGGCCATTCAGATTTTGTTGACCAGATGGCCGGCAGGGAAACGGGGGACTGGAAAAACCAATCAGGGCCCTGGCACAATCTTTAGCTTGCACTGTTGTCTTTGCCTGTTTTCACATTCAAAATCATAAAAAACCAAGAATTAAAGGACCGGATAACCCCACAAGTCAACTTCTTCCTAAAATGAGCTTCAATGGTTTTAGCGGGGACTGGGAAGAAAGGAAAGACAAAGGAGGTGGTGAAAGATCGAGAAGGTAAAACGGTATGTATGTATGTATGTATGTACGTACGTACGTACGTACGTACGTATGTATGTATGTATGAGGGTACGTATGTATGAGAGTACGTATGTATGTATGTAGTTGTATGTGTGTGACAAAGGTGCGTGTGAAAGATGCTGCGTGTCAAAGATGAAGTTGACGATGATGACATAGAGGAACGGTACCTGGCCGCAGAAGTGTAGAACACGAATGTAGCTGGTTGTCAATGCAACTATGGAGGACAAGTACAGAGCGCATGCCTGTCAAGGCACGACACAGTCACAGGCATCTGCGCGCGCTTCTTCCCACATTGGGTCAAAGCTCTGGCTCCCGAGGTCAGAGACTGCTTGACTCATTGTCAGGCTGTGAGACACGCGCCTGTCCTCCGTCCAAGAAGTTCACTGGAAAGGTCCCTGCGGCAGTTGCAAAGACACAGAGGCTTCATGCGTGCGATCTTGTTACTACATGACAACTGCAATATCTCTCTCACGTCATGTCTGCGCTGCACAGCGTTGCTCAAGCGCAGTTGGGCCCTGCCTGTCTGCTCAAGCGCAGTTGGGCCCTGCCTGTCGTAGCGACCACGAGCAAGACCAGCACCTGGCCGCAAGTGTGTGTGTGTGGAACGACATGATGAAAGCCTGCATGCAAGAAAGAGAATCTGTCATGTCTGCGCTGCACAGCGTTGCTCAAGCGCAGTTGGGCCCTGCCTGTCGTAGCGACCACGAACAAGACCAGCACCTGGCCGCAAGTGTGTGTGTGTGGAATGCAGCAGGCCGAAAGAAGAAAGTACCTAAACATGCCAAAATCAAACATGCCGAAACACGCGGAAAGAAGAAACATGCCGGAAGATAAACATGCAGAAAATGGTAAACATGCAGAAAAGATATAGGTAGAAACAACATGCCAGAGCGACCATAAACAGGACATGCGTAAACAAGCGAAGAAGAACACATGTAGCGCAGTTGGGCTCTGCCTGTCACGAGCAAGACCAGCACCTGGCCACAAGTGTGTGTGTGTGCGAGGAATGCAGCAGGCCGAAAGAAGAAAGTACTTAAACATGCCAAAATCAAACATGCCGAAACACGCGGAAAGAAGAAACATGCCGGAAGATAAACATGCAGAAAATGGTAAAAACAACATGCCGGAGCGACCATCCAACATGCTGGAACATAACATACTAAACAAGCCAGTAGAACAAACGAGGCGAAGACGAAAACAGTGCCACGTGAAATCAATAGTAAAAACAACATGCCGGAGCGACCATAAACAGGACACGCGTAAACAAGCGAAGTAGAAAACAGGTTGGAAACAGCAGAAAACATGTCCGAAAATAAAACATGCCGGAGCGACCATCCAACATGCTGGAACATAACATACTAAGCAAGCCAGTAGAACAAACGAGGCGAAGACGAAAACAGTGCCACGTGAAATCAAGGTGGATATCACCAAATGCCACGCCTGCCACGCAAAGTCTCGCGGCATCATGGATATGCGATTGTGCCACGCCTGCCACATGATCTCAAGGTGGATGTCACCAAGTGCCACGCCTGCCACGCAGAAGTGGCGCGGCGTCACGGGCGTCACGGGCGCCTAAACCAAGACCAAGCGCGCCACCCAGTACCATAAGTGCCACGCCTGCCACGCAAAACGACGGTGGCTGTGAGTTCGTGCCACGCCTGCCACGTGATATCAAGGTGGATGTCACCAAGTGCCACGCCTGCCACGCAAAACGACCGTGGATGTGCGATTGTGCCACGCCTGCCACGTGAAATCAAGGGGGATGTCACCAAGTGCCACGCCTGCCACGCAGAAGTGGCACGGCGTCACGGGCGTCACGGGCGCCTAAACCAAGACCCACCCAGTACCATAAGTGCCACGCCTGCCACGCAAAACGACGGTGGCTGTGAGTTCGTGCCACGCCTGCCACGTGATATCAAGGTAGATGTCACCAAGTGCCACGCCTGCCACGCAAAACGACCGTGGATGTGCGATTGTGCCACGCCTGCCACGTGAAATCAAGGGGGATGTCACCAAGTGCCACGTCTGCCACGCAGAAGTGGCGCGGCGTCACGGGCGTCACGGGCGCCTAAATCAAGACCAAGCGCGCCACCCAGTACCATAAGTGCCACGCCTGCCACACAAAACGACGGTGGCTGTGAGTTCGTGCCACGCCTGCCACGTGATATCAAGGTGGATGTCACCAAGTGCCACGCCTGCCACGCAAAACGACCGTGTGAAATCAAGGGTGATGTCACCAAGTGCCACGCCTGCCACGCAGAAGTGGCGCGGCGTCACGGGCGTCACGGGCGCTTAAACCAAGACCAAGCGCGCCACCCAGTACCATAAGTGCCACGCCTGCCACGTAAAACGACGGTGGCTGTGAGTTCGTGCCACGCCTGTCACGTGATATCAAGGTGGATGTCACCAAGTGCCACGCCTGCCACGCAAAACGACCGTGGATGTGCGATTGTGCCACGCCTGCCACGTGAAATCAAGGGGGATGTCACCAAGTGCCACGCCTGCCACGCAGAAGTGGCGCGGCGTCACGGGCGTCACGGGCGTCACGGGCGCCTAAATCAAGACCAAGCGCGCCACACAGTACCATAAGTGCCACGCCTGCCACGCAAAACGACGGTGGCTGTGAGTTCGTGCCACGCCTGCCACGTGATATCAAGGTGGATGTCACCAAGTCACGCCTGCCACGCAAAACGACCGTGGATGTGCGATTGTGCCACGCCTGCCACGTGAAATCAAGGGGGATGTCACCAAGTGCCACGCCTGCCACGCAGAAGAGGCGCGGCGTCACGGGCATCACGGGCGCCTAAACCAAGACAAAGCGCGCCACCCAGTACCATAAGTGCCACGCCTGCCACGCAAAACGACGGTGGCTGTGAGTTCGTGCCACGCCTGCCGCGTGAGATCAAGGTGGATGTCACCAAGTGCCACGTGCCACGCAAAACGACCTGTTAAGTTTGTGTGTGTGTGAAGTTATTGTATGTTAAGTTTGTGTATGTAAAGTTATTGTATGTTAAGTTTGTGTGCGTTAAGTTTGTGTGTGTGAATTTATGTATGTTAAGTTTGTGTGTGTTAAGTTTGTGTGTGTGAAATTATTGTATGTTAAGTTTGTGTGTGTTAAGTTTGTGTGTGTGTGAAGTTATTGTATGTTAAGTCTGTGCGTGTTAAGTTTGTGTGTGTGTGAAGTTATTGTATGTTAAGTTTGTGTGTGTGTTAAGTTTGTGTGTGTGTGAAGTTATTGTATGTTAAGTTTGTGTATGTGAAGTTATTGTATGTTAAGTTTGTGCGTGTTAAGTTTGTGTGTGTGAAGTTATTGTATGCTAAATTTGTGTGTGTGTTAAGTTTGTGTGTGAAGTTATTGTATGTTAAGTTTGTGTATGTGGAGTTATTGTATGTTAAGTTTGTGCGTGTTAAGTTTGTGTGTGTTAATTTATTGTATGTTAAGTTTGCGTGTGTGTGTGTGTTAAGTTTGTGTGTGTGAAGTTATTGTATGTTAACTTTGTGTATGTGAAGTTATTGTATGTTAAGTTTGTGTGTGTTAAGTTTGTGTGTGAAGTTATTGTGTAAGGAGGCGGGAGGAGCGGGAGGAGGAGAAGGAGCCCGGGATACAGAATCAAAAAACAAGAACCCCACACAAAGTTGTGGGGAAGTAAAACAAAATTGTGTGTGACAAAGTTGTATGTGAAAGCTGGTGTGTGACAAAGAAAGATGGTGTCTGGTGTGTGTGTGTGACAAAGTTGTGTGTGAAAGATGGTGTGTGTGAAAGTTGCGTGTGACAAAGTTGTGTGTGAAAGATGGTGTGTGACAAAGCGGTGTGTGAAGGATGGTGCGTGAAAGATGGCCTGTGACGGTGTGTGAAAGATGGTGTGTGAAAGATGGTAAGTGACAAAGTTGGTGCGTGACAAATTTGTGTGAAAGATGGTGTGGTGAAAGATGGTGTGAGACAAAGTGTTGTGTGAAAGATGGTGTGTGAAAGATGGCCTGTGACGGTGTGTGAAAGATGGTGTGTGAAAGATGGTAAGTGGCAAAGTTGGTGCGTGACAAATTTGTGTGAAAGATGGTGTGGTGAAAGATGGTGTGAGGCAAAGTGTTGTGTGAAAGATGGTGTGTGAAAGATGGCCTGTGACGGTGTGTGAAAGATGGTGTGTGAAAGATGGTGTGTGACAAAGTTGGTGTGTGAAAGATGGTGTGTGACAAAGTTGGTGCGTGACAAAGTTGTGTGAAAGATGGTGTGTGACAAAGTTGGTGTGTGAAAGATGGTGTGGTGAGAGATGGTGTGTGAGAGATGGTGTGAGACAAAGCGGTGTATGAAAGATGGTGTGTGAAAAATGGTCTGTGACGGTGTGTCAAAGATGGTGTGTGACAAAGTGGTGTGAAAGATGGTGTGTCCAAGATGGTGTGTCAAAGATGATGTGTGAAAGATGGTGTGTGACAAAGTCGTGTGTGACAAAGATGGTATGTGACAAAACAAAGGTGGATGTCGCCAAGTGCCATGCCTGCCACGCAAAACGAAGGTGGATGTCAACAAGTGCCACGCCTGCCACGCAAAAGGACGGTAGATGTGAGATTGTGCCACGCCTGCCACGTGAAACAGCCGCGGCGTCACGGGCGCCTAAACCAAGGCCAAGCGCGCCAGCCAAAACGACGGTAGATGTCAGCGTGCCACGCCTGCCACGTGAAATCAAGGTGGATGTCACCAAGTGCCACGCCTGCCACGCAGAAGTGGCGCGGCGTCACGGGCGCCACGGGCGCCTAAACCAAGACCAAGCGCGCCACCCAGTGCCATCTGTACCACGCCTGCCACGCAAAACGACCGTGGATGTGCGATTGTGCCACGCCTGCCACGTGAAATCAAGGTGGATGTCACCAAGTGCCACGCCTGCCACGCAGAAGTGGCGCGGCGTCACAGGCGTCACGGGCGCCTAAACCAAGACCAAGCGCGCCACCCAGTGCCATCTGTACCACGCCTGCCACGCAAACGACCGTGGATGTGCGATTGTGCCACGCCTGCCACGTGAAATCAAGGTGGATGTCACCAAGTGCCACGCCTGCCACGCAGAAGTGGCGCGGCGTCACGGGCGTCACGGGCGCCTAAACCAAGACCAAGCGCGCCACCCAGTGCCATCTGTACCACGCCTGCCACGCAAAACCACGGTAGATGTCAGTTTGTGCCACGCCTGCCACGTGATATCAAGGTGGATGTCACCAAGTGCCACGCCGGCCACGCAGAAGTGGCGCGGCGTGACGGGCGTCACGGGCGCCTAAACCAAGACCAAGCGCGCCACCCAGTGCCATCTGTACCACGCCTGCCACGCAAAACGACCGTGGATGTGCGATTGTGCCACGCCTGCCACGTGAAATCAAGGTGGATGTCACCAAGTGCCACGCCTGCCACGCAGAAGTGGCGCGGCGTCACAGGCGTCACGGCGGCGCCTAAACCAGTCCAAGCGCGCCACCCAGTGCCATCTGTCCCACGCCTGCCACGCAAAACGACGGTAGATGTGAGGTTGTGCCACGCCTGCCACGTGAAATCAAGGCGGATGTCACCAAGTGCCACGCCTGCCACGCAGACGTGGCGCGGCGTCATGGGCGTCACGGGCGCCTAAACCAAGACCAAGCGCGCCACCCAGTGCCATCTGTACCACGCCTGCCACGCAAAACGACCGTGGATGTGCGATTGTGCCACGCCTGCCACGTGAAACGAAGGTGGATGTCACCAAGTGCCACGCATTATTATTTGTGAAGTTTGTGTGTGTGTGAAGTTAGCGTGAGATTATTGTATGTTAATTTTTATTGTATGTTTTTTTTTATTGTATGTTAAGTTTGTGTGTGTGTGAAATTATTGTATGTAAGTTAGTGTGAGATTATTGTATGTTAAATTATTGTGTGTTAAGTTTGTGTGTGTGTGAAAGTATTGTATGTAAGTTAGTGTGAGATTATTGTATGTTAAATTATTGTATATTAAGTTTGTGTGAGTGAAATTATTGTATGTTAAGTTTGTGTGTGTGTGAAGTTAATGTATGTTGAAGTTAGTATGAAATTATTGTATGTTAAGTTTGTGTGTGTGAAGTTAATGTGTGTGAAATTATTGTATGTTAAGTTTGTGTGTGTGAAGTTAATGTTTGTTAAGTTAATGTATGTTAAGTTTGTGTGTGTGAAGTTAATGTATGTTAAGTTGATGTATGTTAAGTTTGTGTGTGTGAAGTTAGTGTGAAATTATTGTATGTTAAGTTTGTGTGTGTGAAGTTATTGTATGTTAAGTTTGTGTGTGTGAAGTTATTGTATGTTAAGTTTGTGTCTGTGAAATTATTGTTGTTGTATGTGTGAGGGAGGTGTGAGGGAGGCGGCGGGAGGAGAAGGCGTGCCGGAGAAGGAGCCCGGGATACAGAATCAAAAACAAGAACCCCACACAAAGTTGTGGGGAAAAAACAAGTGCTTAAATCACCTACCATTCACCAGCTTCAAATACCCTGAGTAAGCTGGCGCAGTAGTAGCCCCAATTCAATCATCCCCAAATGGTCGACGTACCTTTAGGGTGACCATTGACCCTTGGATTTTCTCGGCCTTTGGCATCTTGGGTGACCAGATTGTCGAAGAGTTTGTCAATATCAATCAATTGCATTCCTTCATACCTTGCCGCTGGCATCGCTGTGGCCCGGAAATGGAGTACTTGGTGGTGAAAACTGCAGTTGGTTATGCGAAAATTGGGATTATATGGGGAATTCTTAAAATGGGGGGATCCCCAAAGCCATGGGTTTCAATACTAAAATAGCCTAATTTAAGATGATTTGGGGGTACCCATATTTTAGGAAACCCCCATACGGAATTTAGGAGGATTTAAAGTTAGTAAGTAGCTTATAACCCCGGTTATAATTAGGAAAAGTAGGGGCAATGTCCACTTGTGAGTGGGGTGAACTAACCCACTTGCTCACTGGGGTAAACCAGCAAGTATACACCAAAAAGAACGCAATTTTCAAATGATGATAAAGCATTGGATGTGGAATTGACAATCGTTTGACTAAAACACATGTGAAATGTTTTCATATTTACTTGGTGGCTCATCCCACTTAGTAAGTGGGTTATAACCCCAGTTATAAGTGGATTAACCCTACTTATCCCATTTATAACTGGGGTGAACTAACCCACTTACTAAGTGGGATGAGCCACCAAGTATATATCACGAAAACATAGGTCAAAACATTGCTTTTTTCTGGGTTATGGTCATCCCACTCATCTGGCATAAACACCTATGTCCTTCATAGCTTGGCCCAAAAAAGTGTCGAGGAACAAGACACGTGAGCTCGAAGCCAGGATCAAAAAGGCCAAAAAACGCGGAAGACAGCAGTGTTCAAAATCCCTCTATCATTCCATTTAATTAATCCTGGTTGGCTAAGAACGGGATTTCCCGTTCTTGGGGAAATCCCGTTCTTGGACAATTATAATCCCCGATATATAAAGGGTAGTATAATCCCTCATAATCATCAACCAACAGGGGTTGTGAACACTGCTCACTTGGATAACCCAAGGGTAGATGCGGCGGACAAGAGAAATGGTCGCCCAGCCAACTCCGACAAAAGACATAGACAGGTAGAAGTCCTGGAGCCAAAACAAGACCCCGTAGCAACAGCAAAAACAAGTCCGTTTCACTGTGCCTGTTTCTGTTGTGTGGAACTATGGTATCTAGGACAACATCAAAAAACACTTAAGGATTGTGATCGAACTCCACCATGATTTCCTACCACTTGCAATATGTTCTGGTATAAGGATTTTCTTTGTTGTTTCTTTCGTTTTCATTTCGTCAGATTTTCGTCAGACTTTTCGTCGGGTGCTTTGTGGCAGAACGTTTTGCCACAAGATTTTGCCACAAATTCTTTCGTCAGAATTTCGTTAGGATTTCGTCAGAACTTGAATTGAAGCAACGAAATCTTTGACGAAATTTTGACGATTTTTTTTTTGTGGCAAAATGTTGTGGCAAAACGTTTTGCCACAACATTTTGCCACAAAAAAAAATCGTCAAAATTTCGTCAAACAATTCGTTCAAATTTCGTCAAACTTGAGTTGAAGTAACGAAATCTTTGACGAAATTTCAACGAAATTCTCACGATCATTTTTTGTGGCAAAAGGTGTGGCAAAATGGATTGCCACAAGGATTGCCACGAAATCTTCAACGAAAGCTTTAACGAACTCTCAACGACCGACTGACGTTATACCATTCCTATTGCAAATCATGAGCAGCACCAACACCAACTTAAGGATATTTGTGTGAGGTCATTTTTGTATGAACCTTATATGTGTATTTATACATACATGTGTTGTTATTATTGTATGAACAGGATTCCAAACATAGTACGCTTTAGAATATACTTGGGATGTTTTTTTGGAACAGTGGATAAAATTTGGCAACAAAAGACAAAAATTCACCACAAACAACAGAGAGTTTGCTGTCTTAGCCCAAAAAAACATATCGTCAGCCAGGAGCAAATGAAAACCAACCAGCAGGACATCATCCATTTTTCATGGAATACGTGTTTTCACCGCAATTTGTCCAAACGAATTGAATACTGTATCGACGTATACCGGATACCAATACCAATAGAGTTCGGCTCCAGAATCTCCGACACTTCCAAAGGTTTCCCATATCTCCAATGTGTATCAACCATGTTTGGCATGGTAATTACATGAGATACCCTTTGGGAAACAAACATATTTATTGAAAATGGCCCATTTATAGTGGATTTACCCATTAAGAATGGTGATTTTCCATAGCTATGTTAGTTTACCAGAGGGTACATGAGATATCATGGGATGAATGGTGGCCGGGTATGGTCATTGAATGGACACCCAAGTTTGATCCGTACCCGTGCCATGGTTCAAAATTGGACCATCATGTGCCATGAAGTCAAATCCAAATATATGTGCCATCCATGAAAAAATCAAATCCAAATGGATGTAAACATACAAAAAGCTATGGAAAATCATCATTTTTTAATGGGTAAATCCACTATTTCTATGGTCATTTTCAATAGCTATGTAAGAAATTACCAGAGGGTAAGATCTAGCGAATGCTCCATTATCTCCCTTGTACTACCATTTAGATGTTTGTGGCTTTGTTTAAGGGCCCGAAATTTTCTAAAACCTGCACATGTCCGCCATCGAAGATCTCGCAAAACCGGCGCCCAAGTTGTGGTGGCTTGCTTTGAGTCCCAAACAACAACATACATCAACATAGCAGTAATGGATGCGAAATCCCGCACCAGATGATTAACATAATAAATATACATATATATATATATATGATATATGGGTAAATTATCATATTTCACTAACTTGAAATAAGGCTATCTTGGGGATGATTCCCATTATTAACCATGATGAACCAGGGCTCGGGAGAACAGGCTTCGGTCGTCACCTGAAACATCTGAAGAATGGTCCCGGTGTTCCTTAAAGAATCCCAAGTGGCTAATGGCTGTTTCTGGCCAGAATTTGGCCAGGTCAAATCTAGGGGATATCGCCTTGGCAATGATGGTTTGATTGATCTACCCTCTGGCAATTAGTGGTTGATGATTACTATTGATGATCTGGCAATTATTAGTGGTATACTGGTATTGATGATCCGTGATATTTAATGACTGGTTTTGTGATATGGTAGTGGAAAATTGGTGGACATCATTAGTGGTTGATGATTAGTTAATAAGTGGATTATAATAAGTGAATTAGATCCCAGTGATAAGTGGATAAACCCTAAATAAATCCCACTTATAACCGGGATATACCCTCTGGTTATGTCAAACAGTTTGCTATTGAAAATGGTGATTTAGTTCGTGGATTTACCCATTGAAAATGGTGGATCGTTCCATAGTTATGTGTATGTTTACCAGAGGGTACATTCAACAAATGAGCAGTGTGAAATAAATCCCTCTGTCAGTCCATTTAATCTTGGCTGTTTAAGAACGGGATTTCCCGTTCTTGGACAATTATAATCCCCGATATATAAAGGGTAGCATAATTCCCGAACTAATCATCAACCAACAGAAGTTTTGAACACTGCTCAAACGAAAAACCATGGGTGTTCAATTGTGATACTCCGAAATACTCCGAAATAAGCAGACTGAACCTATAAAATATATATTCTATTATCGTGCGGTTTCCCCATATATACGTTGATTTATGGTGACGTCGGCGAGATTGCAACTACCCCAGAAATCTGTAGAAATCCTAGAATCTTAAAAGTCTAACCGTCTAACCATAATACATGCCACAATAAAAAGTCTGTCCCCATATACCATCAATCTTAAAAAGTCTGTCCCCATAACTGCTTTACGGCTCAACATCCCGAAACACATAACGTCAACCGTGGATTAATAAACCCCTATGCTGTTTGATTGGGAGGGTACCATTTAAGTATTAGATGAAATGACTATTGGAGGAGTACCGGAGTACCCCCCTAATGAAAATAAACCATGGTTTAGCAAAATCCGGGGTTGACATTATAGCTGGTTGGTGGTTTCATTTTTTTTTCATTTTCCATAATATATGGGATAATCCTTCCCATTGACTTTCATATTTTTCAAGATGGTTAAAAAGATCATCTCAGGTCGGGAAAAAAAACCAGCCAAGGTCATCTCTGTGCATCCGAAGTACTTCACTGTGCACTTCTTCTCTGCTGTCACCTTATATCCAGAATCCTTGGCGACAATCGATGCCACAGAAATGCAAAAGAACATGACCTTATCAATTGTGGTATAGCGACCAATCTGCTAAAATTGATCTCTAGGTAGTAAGATAAGGGCAAAACCATATAATCCCCAAAATATTCAAGCCAACATATTTGATTGTAACATATTATAACCATTATAACTCATCCTATGCCATACTAATCGGTCTATAGAAAAAACACATAAAACTGACATGATACAGTATCCGGTGATATATCCGTTATACATCCGTTCTATGTATATGTATAAAACTGGTTGGTGGTTTCAACCCCCCTGAAAAATATTAGTCAGTTGGAATGATTATTCCCAATATATGGAAAGTCATAAAAAATGTTCCAAACCACCAACCAGCTATAGTGCTAGTAGACCTCTGCGCCGACATAACCCAAATGTGTTAGGGAAAACCAAAAAAATGGATGGCACATGGCTAATGAAGGGCTACCCTACCCGAGTGAGTTCGCCAATGGTATCTCATCTGGTGTCATTTTGGATTGTCATCCTATTTGGGGATGATAAACAAAAAAGTTGAAAGGATCTTGTGTGAACTATATGACATGTTCCTGCATATGAATATGTTGGGCAAGAAACAGCATGTGTAAGTTCATATTCGGCTCATTTTGATTGAAACCATTACTGACAGTTAGGCTGCTTTTGGTGCATGATAGATGAACTGCATACCCCTTAAACAAGTTCATCTTGAGCAATATATTTCTATGATTTTCTATATGCATATGGTATACTTAGATTCCATGAAATAGAAAATAGTAATATATAACAAAGTATACTGTGAAATAGGTTTCTATAATTTTCATTAATTTTCTATAAGTTTCTGTATGTATATGGTATACTGTTCTATATTTTCTATATGTGAAATAGTTCTTCCACTTATGCATTGAAGGTTTTCACCTTCAAACGTCGCCGGCCGGTCCGGGAAAGCCATAATTTTTTGCACCTCCTTTTGGCCTCGAGGTGCTGATCGTATTTTAAGTACATTCCACCATATCCCCATTATATCATCTGGTTGGTGGTTGACGTACCTACCATTGGTTGGTAATATACTGTTAATATATGGTTCATGATGATGGTTATTATATGGTTAATGATGGTTATTAATAATCTGGTTGGTGGTTGCTGCTAACCTCTCTGAAAAATGATGGACTGAAAGCCAGTTGGGATGATTATTCCATTCCCAACTGAATGGAAAAAAAATATGTTCCAAACCACCAATCAGTCATATTATCGTATATTCCAGTAAATTAACATAGACCCTGCCAGACAGGGGTTCAAAGACTAGTTTCCACTCAAAATTGTGTGTTTTCAGGGTCAACTTGTTAATTTACCAGAGGGTACTTGGTGGCTCATCCCGCTTAGTAAGTGGGTTATAACCCCAGTTATAAATGGGATAAGTAGGGTTAATCCACTTATAACTGGGGTTATAACCCACTTACTAAGTGGGATGAGCCACCAAGTATATTCCAATAATATCCAAATAATTACAGGACTTACGATAGGTTGATTTTCAGCACGATCCGTGGGATGGTCCTCCAGATAGTGGACTCGAGATAGAGGAGGTTTATCCAGAAATTTTCCCCTGATGGTTATACTGTGGATGGGCCAGCGAAATCCTAAGAATCACCAGTTTGGGATGGTTGAAACATGTTGAAACCCTGTAAATCGTGGGATGTAGTAACCATCTATCAACTGGTGATTCGGATTTCGCTGGCCCATCCACTGTAGTGATAATTATGACATAGTGAAAATGAAAGTGATGATAAAATTACTATTGGAAATCATGGGGATCTACAGGAAACCCATGGTTTTTTTACCATTAAATATGGGGGTTTCCTGTAAAAAATCCATATCTCTCAACATATCTCCCATCAACTGGTGCAGGGCACTGCATTGCTCAACTCAGGAAACTAAGTAACTAAGCCCAGAAAAACTACATAAGCAGTATCCAAATGAAACCACTTAAAATCAACGATGATGAAATCATAGGTCATTGAGCATCCATTCAATCAGAAAATTGATTCAATCTGACCTGCTGTTTGGTAATTTTCTGGTCTTGACCGTTTTTTTCAACCATATTCTACCAGATTCACAGCCTATCTTACTTCCAGGATCCCACGAATAGTAAGTGCTTCGGCTTCCAAAAAATAGGTGTAAGCCACGAATCCAAATGGGATAAGCCACGAATCGGATGATCCAAGTATTGAAAGATCCATTAAACAAATCCTATATAGAATTCTGCTGCTGACATCCTCTTTGATATGCTTGATTTATGTTGTTTAATGTTATATAATCCATTTATACCCTCCTGTAAACTAACAGTTTGCTATTGAACATGGCCTATTTATAGTTGATTTACACCTCTTCAAAATGGTGATTTTAACCAGAGTTTTTTGTAAAAAAGTGACTGCCAGATGTTAAACCTCCACTAATCACCATTAGATCCCACTAAACCACCATTTAATCCCATTAAATCCCCATTAGATCCCACTAAACCACCATTTAATCCCATTAAATCCCCATTAGATCCCACTAAACCACCATTTAATCCCATTAAATCACCATTAGATCCCACTAAATCACAATTTAATCCCATTAAATCCCCATTAGATCCCACTAAACCACCATTTAATCCCATTAAATCACCATTAGATCCCATTAAATCCCCATTAGATCCCACTAAACCACCATTTAATCCCATTAAATCCCCATTAGATCCCATTAAATCACCATTTAATCCTATTAAATCCCCATTAGATCCCACTAAACCACCATTTAATCCCATTAAATCCCCATTAGATCCCAATAAATCACAATTTAATCCCATTAAATCCCCATTAGATCCCACTAAACCACCATTTAATCCCATGAAATCTCATTAGATCCCACTAAATCACCATTTAATCCCATTAAATCCCCATTAGATCCCACTAAACCACCATTTAATCCCATTAAATCACCATTAGATCCCACTAAACCACCATTTAATCCCATTAAATCCCCATTAGATCCCACTAAATCACCATTTAATCCCATTAAATCCCCATTAGATCCCACTAAACCACCATTTAATCCCATTAAATCACCATTAGATCCCACTAAACCACCATTTAATCCCATTAAATCCCCATTAGATCCCATTAAATCACCATTTAATCCCATTAAATCCCCATTAGATCCCATTAAATCACCAGTTTACCAGAGACGAATTGGGATGATCTGCCTCGGCGCACCAAGCATCCATGGCTCCGGCCTTCTTTGGCCAATCCTTGTCCTTCCCCGAGCCCATGGTCCTGCACATCTGCAGCTGTGGAGATTTTCCTGGGGATTTTTGTGATGGGGATATGATGGGGATACAATGTGGGGCCCCCCAGTTATAAGTTGGTTTATAAATCCCATTAACTATAGTTATAAGTACCATAAACCATAGTTATTGGAGTTATAAACCAACTTAGCTATCTAGGGGGCCCCACATTGTAGAATTTTATGAGTTTTATGAACAGTTCTAGTGCGATGTAGACTGAGAACATCATATTTGGTGTCTGAAAAATCTGGATAGTTTCCACTCCTTTTAGATATTTACTGAAGATTGAAGGTTTACACAAAAATCGTTCCAGACTATATAAGCCCAAAAACATATACCTCAACCATACGACAAATGTTTCACATATTATATATATACATAGACTTCTGAAAAAGGTCAAAATGCATGTCGGGCAAAACCATACTCAGAAGGAAAACTGGTTGGTCAGTTTATGTCCTTGAAAACACAAATCATGGAGATAATCATCATGAAGATCATCATCATCATCCTCCTCCTCATCCTCATCGTCCTCATCGTCCTCATCGTCCTCATCTCGTTCCTCATCTGGTTGGTGGTTGACCTACCCCTCTGAAAAATGATGGACTTCGTCAGTTGGGAGTATGAAATTCCCAACTGAATGGAAAGTCATGGAAAAATTCCATGGTTCCAGTCAGCACCAACCAGTCATCGTCCTTATCCCAAATATGTTGTTTTTGAAAGCAACACCGGAAAATCTCATCCACGTCTTGTCCGTTCCATGGTTCCGGGAGTTTCCAGGCTCTGGTGATGTCAAAATAGCGAAAATGGCCATTGAAATCGTTGATTGACCCATGAAAAATGGTGATTTTCCATACTTATGTGACAGTTTACTAGAGGGTAGCTACTGAAAATGGCTATTTGTTGATATACCTCTCAAAAAAATCTGATTTTCCATAGCAAACTCTTAGTTTACCAGAGGCTAGCCATGTTTGATGACACAGGGCGTAATCGGATGGCGGTCCAAGTGACCAGTCTTGCATACCCTTCGCCAAAAAAAATAGCAGTTTGTCGTTCTTCTCATTAACAAAAATACCAATCAATCATTGACCGGTTGTGTGTAGATTTGTTGGTTACCTTGCAGAAAATTATCATAAATGTGGAAACAACAAAAACAAACATGTGTGCATATCCATTTCGGGACAGAAAAACCATAGGCTCTGCTGTCTTCTCTTTTTCTATGTTTACCCCAGGGTGAAAGGCTTGGCACATTGGCTACTGATATGGGCTTAAATAACTTGAATTCTGAAACCAATCAAAATATGTTCGGAGCCCAAGAATTACATAGTATGATATGATAGGATATGATGTGATATGACATAATGAACTATTACACAGTACAATACAAAATAATCGAAAATCAATATACTGAAAATAATGAAATATAATATACTGAAAATCAGTACAGTATAAAATGATACATAAACCTACAATATGAAGCAAGATAATGAAAACTAATACAAAATTCCAATGTAGTATAATCTAATGAAATACAATAGAACAGAATAGAAGACAATATAATATGATATAGCATACCAAGATATAACGTGATTAAAAAAACATAGCGTAGTACAATAACATGTTGGTGGTTTCATCCCCCCAGAAAAATATGACTTCGTCAGATTGGATCATCATCCCAACTACTGGTTGGGCAAAAAAAAAAATCATGTTCCAAAGCACCAAGCAGTATATAGATATACATACTCATATTTCATAATCATATAGATAGATAGATAGATAGATAGATGGATAGATCGATAGATAGATAGATAGGTAGATAGATAGATAGATATCGTATTATAGATATATCTATATCTTTTATACATACTATATTAATCATATTATATATATATGTAGTCATCACAGATATATTTTATATGACTACATCCTTTTCATAGCTTCAACACCAAGATTTTTCCATCTCAATGGATGGAACATCGACAGGACGTCCCATAGATGTTCCCTTAGACCAATCCCTTGAAAACTGGTTGGTCGTATACCTACCCCTCTGAAAAATGATGGACGAATCGTCAGTTGGGAGTATGAATTCCCAATATGATGGGAAAAATATCCTGTAAATGTTCCCGAAAAAACCAATCCATTGAGAAAAATATCCTTCTAAATCATGGTTTATGGATGTTTATGGCTGATGTTTGTGGATGTTTAATACATGAAGTACATGAAGTACTGCACTGCCCCTGGCGGCCGGCATTCGGTCTTCCAGGAGCCCTCTTGGGCGATTCTGCACAAGACCTTTTTGCCTCGGGATCCATGGGGATGGTGGCTAACAATATCTTTAGTGACTAACCATGGTGGATATAACTGATAAACATGATATAACTGATATAAATGATATAACTATGATAGATATCTTATTATAGATATATATATATATAACTAACCATGGTTATTGGTGGATATAACATGATATAACTGATAAATGGGTTAATAAATGGTAAATAAATGGTTATGCCTTCGGTAAATTAAAAGTTGATGATTACCCTCTGGTAATTGACATAGCTATTGAAAATTGCCGATTATATCTTATTTACCTATTCAAAATGGGGATCTTTCCATAGCTATGGTAGTTTACCAGAGGGTATGGCCAAAGTAAGCAACAATATCAGGGATGCTGTCATATACGCTCTGATAAATTACCCTCTGTTAAACGTTTACATAACTATGGAAAATCACCATGCTATCAATGGGTAAAGCCACTATAAATCAACATTTTCAATAGCAAACTGTTAAATTATCAGAGGGTAACAGTTTGACGTTGCATCTAATCTTCCAGTCGCCTGAATGCCAGTGTCGATCTGTCGATTTCCTGCAGGGTATATGACAAGATTTCTTCTGGATATATAGGTGATTTAAGCAACAAAAACTGTCGGTTGGAATATGATGGTTATTGAATATAATAATGATCGTAGGAAACAGAATCTTAGATTGGATATTTATGGTGGAATAAATATATATATATATCCAGGAAACAGAATCTTAGATTGGATTATGGTTCCAATAACTGTCGGATTTATGGTGGACATACTTATCATATTACGCGGTGTCCGAAGTCACCAAAAAAAACAAACCGTCGTGGATGACCATGGGACTTGGGGATCTCCCATAACTTCAGAAACCCCCAGTGATGGATTACAGGATGGGGCCCCAGTGCCCCAGTGATGTGAACGTTGGTTGAGAAAAACCATGATAATCCCCATGAACCAACACTCGTGAAATATCTACCATAAACCATAGTTACATCAACCACTTATAAACCAACTGAACGCTATCTTGGGGGCCCCATCTTGGATATATATATATATATCTATGTATATATATATATATATGTAGATATATCTGGTTGGTGGTTTCAACCCCTCTGAAAAATATTAGTCAATGGGAAGGATTATCCCATATATTGTGGAAAATATAAAATGTTTGAAACCACCAACCAGGTATATATATATACATATACATACGATCCAGCCCTGCCAGTCCCCCCTGAAAGGGTATGGGTCTACAGGTCTAGGGGTCGTGCTGATCCCCATATAGGTAGGTACCGGTGATCTCCCCCTTTTGTGGGGTAGGTACGTAAGTAAAAGGATAGATAGATTAGATTAGATTTAGATATAACCTCTTGTTATTTAACATAGCCATGGAAAATCACCATTTTTAATTGGCAAACCATCTATAAATGGGCTATTTTCCACGGCTATGTTAAATAACCAGAGGGTATATATATACACACATGATTACATGTACAGTAGGTATACAAGTGGGTATATGTAGTGGGGATTCTCTCTGACTCCCCCCTCCCCCCGCTCCCTGTGGGTGGGTGCGGTCCGGTGTGTGAGGGCTATATTGACACAAGATAGTATAGGATACTAGGTATGTGTAGGTATATACATATAAATATCAAATATGCAAAAAAAAATCATATGAAAGTACATATATAAGATAGGTAGTAGAAATATAGGATAGAATATAGGTAGCATATATAGGTAGCAAATATAGGTAGCATATAGATAGTATATAGATAGTATATAGATCCTATAATTAGATAGCCTCTAGATACTATTTAGATAGTATATAGGTTTTATGTAGATAGCGCATAGATAGTAAATATATAGCATGTAGATAGTATATAGGTAGTATACTGGCATAAGATATAGCAAGATGGTTTATCAAGGGTATATAAGTTAATAAGGGATTATATATATATATATGTAGGAACAGGTCGTAGGTAAGGAGTTTGGGAGTTTCGTGGGCGGGAGACGGGATCACATATATATATATGGATTCTATTTGGCTTATATATGTGGATTATATGAACGGATTACACATATATATAATATTAAATGGATTATCACATAAAAATTGAAATATAAATATATAAACTATACATATATATATATATCTATATACCCTCTGGTAAACTAACATAGCTATTGAAAATTGCCATTTATAGTGGATTTACCCATGAAAAAAAAGTGATCTTCCATAGCTATGTTAGTTTACTAGAGGGTATATACTATATCCCCATGTTGTTTCTGGGGTCAACGCCCCGAGGCGGGCGTGGTTTTTTCCACGTTTGTGCTCTTTGGCAGTATACGTGTTTAACGCTCTTGCCGACTGTAAGATGACGCTACCGAAGACACGTTGCCCAACTTTGTTGCTGACGTCTTGCTACCTTGACTGGGAGGGGGGGTGGGGGGGGATGATAACGTTCCTTTCGACTGTAAGATAACGCTACCGAAGACACGTTGCCCAACTTTGTTGCTGACGTCTTGCTACCTTGACCGGGAGGGGGGTGGGGGGGTGGGGTGGGGATGATAACGTTCCTTTCGACTGTAAGATGACGCTACCGAAGACACGTTGCCCAACTTTGCTAGGTTCATTTACAACATACATTTATCAAAACGCGTGTTTTTATATACATGTATGTTTACATGTTTATATATATATATATGTGTGTGTAAAGGGTATTTAAAATATCTATGTATTCATGTCTCAAGCAGATGTTGCGGAATTGCAAAAGTTTTTTTTGGCATTTTGACATTCTTGCAGCAAACGTCAAAACATCATAGATCACAAGCATAAAATACTGCAAATTACAGTGTAAAAAGGTGATTTTTGATTCAATCACCAAGTACACAATTGTAGAAAACCCACACCCGCCTCAAGGCGGTGTTCCCTTTTGTTTCTCTATAAATGATGTTCAATCCCCATGCGAAATCATCATGCCCAGTTTTGAAGCTCGGGGTAGGTAGGGTTAGTCCAGTTATTTCGGCCTACCTACTGGGGTGAAGTACCAAGTATCTAAGGTTCGCTATACTCAACCTATAACCTACTGATATGATAATATATATATATAGAAAAATATATAGATATTATATAGATATTATGTAGATATCATATAGATATTATGTAGATATTATATATATATATATATATTATAGATATTATATAGATATTATATAGATATTATATAGATATAGTGTATATATAATATAATATAATAATATATATATACATACCTTCTCAGCTCCAGTATCATTATCTTGAAGTCCATCAATGTGATTTAATATACACAGTGGTGCCCCAGTTTGCAAACGCGAAGTTCTTTTTGTTGCGTTACCAACGAACTGGCTTTGTGGTACATCTCTCGAAGTACTTCGTTTTTGGGTAACCAACAAACATCACTGTTGGGCATTACTCTGGTTGTATGGGAAAATCATAGGAAAACCATAGGAAAATGGTGGTTTTACCCTCTGCTAAACTAACATAACTATGGACAATCACCATTTTTAATGGGATTCAATGGGATTTCATGGTGATTTAATGGGATCTAATGGTGATTAATGGAGGTTTAACCTCTGGTAAACTGTTACATAACTATGGACAATCACCATTTTATAGCTGGGTAAATCCACGAACTAAATGGGCAATTTTCAATAGCTATGTTTGTATGTTTACCAGGCCGGGTAATCTGATGAAGCCCAGCTTTACCGTGGGATCCAAGCATTCATGACCATTCATAACCGTCATAACCAGCAGTGAAAACCCCTGGTTTGGTCTATGGCACAAATTTCCCAAACTTTTGACCAGATGATGGGATGACTCATCCAGTGAGGCAAAATGAATTCCGATCAAAAATTTTGGTGGGTTGTAAGATATCCCCAGGAAACATCCCCATTGAAACATCCCATGAATGCCTACTCTCTGGTAAACTAACATAGCTATGGAAAATGACCCATTTATTAATTTATAGGTGATTTACCTATTAAAAGTGATGATTTCCATAGTTATGTTTGTTTACCAGAGGGTACATTCCGTCCATTTGCCAGTACATCCCCAGGAAGCGGCCCATGAAATATCCACACTGAATAAAAAATCCATGACATACTGCTTGGTTGATAGCGATTCCCACAATGGATCATCAACCAGGGCTAGATCGGCAGATCGCAGAAAAAACAAATGGTTGTAACCCACATTTTCCCAACGAACTCTGGAACTGCACCCCATCTCAATGGGAGATCTCCAGGATCCTAAAATGGAGCTACTGTACCATTCACTAATAGACTAAGCCATAGAAATTGGGGGTGCATCACCTTACATAGCACTGAAAAATAGGCCTTATATGGGTTTGTCTGAAAATAGGCTACTCCTAAATCATTCATTTTAACTGGATTGTCCCTTATAAACTATCCAGCTATCGTGGATATCCCCATATGGTAGGGACCTGCAATAAATCGGCTGAACCTTGCTGAACGAGCAGCATTTGGGTTGGGCAAGATCCCTGGGCCGGTGTTGGAAAGTGGTGTGAAAAAAACAGCAAAAAAAAGATGTAACTAGTCAAAATATAATCCATTTAAGATAGCTAAGTTGGTTTGTAATTCCAATAAGTGGGATTGATGTTTATAATCAATTTAAGTGAGCTACGTCGGTATATATGTTTATCCAACAACACTGGGTTCTGTTAGATATGTTTATACGTCAAAGTGCGCAGTTCAGCATCAGCATCATCCATTTCATAGTTTTCAAGCCACAAAGTTTGCGATATCACCTGATATACAGGCTAAACATACAAAAAACAATGGAAAATCACCATTTTATAGCTTTTTTCATCCAGCAAACTGTTACTGGTTGGTGGTATGCCTACCCCTCTGAAAAAAGTCAGTTGGGATGATGACATTCCCAACTGAATGGAAAAAGAAGTTTTTCATGTTCCAAACCACCAACCAGACCAGCCAGTATAAAATTCATGTTACCCTCTGGTAATTTAACATCACCAGTGGAAAATCACCATTGATAGTGAATTCTCCCATGAAAATATGGTGATTTTCCATAGTTATGTAAACGTTTACTGGTTGGTGGTTTGAACCCCTCTGAAAAATATGAGTTCGTCAGTTGGGATGATGACATTCCCAATATATGGAAAAAAACCATTAAAATCCATTAAAATCCATTAAACCACTATAATCCATTAATCCCAAGTGTACACTAACGTTAGGGAAAATAAAAGCCATGTTCCAAACCACCAACCAGTTTACCGTTGACCGGGGATCCCCAGGGCGTCCAAAAACAGCGCCTGAGTCGTTGCGTCATGGTCTTGATGGGGTCGTCTTTGTCGCCACAAGGAATGGGTGCAGGTCGTGGCTTCTGCGAGGACCAAGTGAATCAGAGATGAAAATATCTCAGATGTCTTGAAAATAGTGTGATCAACATATGATTATCATGAAAATCATGAAATTGTTCAAGTTATATGATCTCAGATGTCTTGTGATCATCATGAAAATCATGAAAAAGTGTGAGAAACACACATATATATATATATAATCATGAAAATGACCATACGTAGTGATAAATCATGAATATCTCAAGAAGATTTAAATAATATCTATGATACATGGAGGCTTCCTAAGTCATGGGAGGAGCCCAAAATCATCCAAGTCATTGGTTCAAGCTGGTTCAAGCTGGTTCAGACTATGGCTCAACGTCAAGCCAGTCTACAGAGGCACGAAGTCGAAGTGTCCTTTAACAAATTCAATGCTGAGATAAGCTGGTAGAGATAAGCTGATAGAGGGAAGTTGGGGCAGGGAAGTTTGATAGAGATGAGTTGCTAGAGTTAATTAACAGTTACCCTATGGTTATTTAACACAGCCATGGCAAATCACCGTTTTAATAGGTACATCAAAATAAATGGCTCATTTTCCATAGCTATGCTAAATAATCAGAGGGTAATACAAATAAGTTGATGCACATAAATTTCATAGAGAGAAGTTGATAGCATCATCCCTGAAGCCATTTGGCTCCCGTGGATTTTCGCAGTAAACAAACATAGATTTGGAAAACCAATTAGTGGCTTCTCCACATCTATGTTAGTGGAAACAGGAAGGTCATATTTTGGGAACCTTGGATCAGGAAAAGTTGGTTGCTTTTTTTGGTTGCTTATGGTTGCTTGAAAAGCAGGAATGAACAGTCCTCCAGTCCGAAAATCATCTGTGAACCTACCATTCTTCGGTCAAACACACATCTTGCATGGCTCAATCTCACATTCCATTTTGATGCTAGTTGATATCACCATTTACAACTAAACTCAAAATAAAACATCAACCATTTCGCTGGTTCCGTGTTTTTTTTTCACCAAATCACCCAAGGTGGTGCCCACCCCGAGTTGCACATGGATTTAAAAAACACCCATTAAGTACAGATATATCAGATATATCCCCTATATTCCCCTATAAACAATAGTTGGAGCACATAGCCCTGGACGTAGTTCTTCCGCATCAGAGCGCAGGTCCTCCAAAAAGAGCAGCGCATCTAAAAACACTGGGAGTTGACCATGAGAAATGGTGAATTTCACCATCAAGTCATAGAGGGGTTCCTGTAGTTCCTGTCGAATTTCTGGGGCCTGATATCTCAGATAGCCTTTGAAACAACTCTAGTTGTCTATTGTCAGTAGATACCACAAAGTTGATTCGTGAACTTCCATTCTGATCCAAGTTGAGTTGAAGCCGCTTACTATTAATTGGTAGGGTTACCACCAAAATAGATAAACAATTGTAGTACCCTCTGGTGAACTAACATAGCAATGGAAAATCACCATTTTTAATGGGAAAATCCACTATAAATGGCCATTTTCCATTGCTATGTTAGTTCACCAGAGGGTACATTGCTCTTAAAATTGGTATCCCGCCAATTCTGACAAACTGGAAGTCCATGAATCATGGGTTGACATTACGACATTACCCAAGAAAAGGAGACCAACGGACTATCCAATTAAAGCATGCCCTATAGCAACAACAGGGTTGCACCCAACACCCGAGATAGAGGATGGGTAAAATGAGTAAATAAAGAGGTCAAGTCTCACATGTTCCCCCTTGTGGCTATCATGTCAACATGGTAAGTGGGTCGGAGCAAGCCTTGTTAACCCATGATATCCCAAGCTAAATCCACAATTTATCCCCATGTTCCCTAATTAGATGAATCCCTGTGTTCGTTGTTCATTGGCCTTTTTCGTGGCTGGGCTGCCCATATATATATATATCTATCCGAAGAAGAGAAAACCAATAGTTCCGTGTCCAGCAGAAATTCATGTATCGACCCAGTCAGAGCGAGAACTATGTGAAAATCTAACACAAGCAGCAGCAGCCGCGGTGGTTTTCCGTTGTTCCCCACCTGCCAAGTGAGGGTCTCCAGATTTTAACAAAACATCCCGGACACACACGGACACACGTGGACAGACATGGACAGCCAGCATCCTCGCCAGCATGTCATCGGCAGCTTGTTTGCCAGCCTCCTCTACACAGCAACTCTATCGCAAGCTCGTCAGCTCTCCGGGCCCCACCGGACCCGAAAGCTATGCCAGATAAAATGACAGATAGAATGCCAGATAAAATGTCGATTGAATGTCAGAATGTTTGGCAGATAAAATGTCAGACAGAATGCCAGATTAAATGCCAGATAGAATTTCAGATCAAATGTCAGATAAACATGACATGCACGTCTAATGTCAGATAGAATGACAAATAACATGACAAAGTAAGTACTGTATATGTCAGGCAGAATGTCTGATAAAATACCAAGGAGATCCTAAGGAGAGTGTGAGAATACAGGTCAGAAAATGTGAGTTTGGGATCACTCAAGTTAACGATATACTAGCAAAGAAGAGCTGCAGCTGTGAAGAATGCCATGGTGGGGATCACTCGAAGTAAATTAATCTTCCATATGGAGGTATCCTAAAATAGGGGTACCCCTAGTTATCATCCATTTAAACCATCTGGTTATTTAACATAGCCATGGAAAATCACCATTTTTAATAGGTAAACCATCTATTTCTATGGGCCATTTTCCATGGCTATGTTAAATAACCAGAGGGTAGATGGATTTTCCATGATAAACCATCCATTTTGAGGTACCCCCATGACTTAGGGGACCCCCACCACATTTTGGGTCCACGATTGTCCGTTGAAAAGCAGTCGTCTCAGATCGGAATTGTTCAAAATCCCTCTGTCATTCCATTATACTGGTTGGTTAAGAACGATTTTCCCCTATTGGATTATTATCCCCAATATAAAGGGTAGTATAATCACCTATATATATATAATCATCAACCAACAGGGTTTTTGAACATCAAATCTCATTAGATTCTACAAAATAACCGTTAAATCCCATTATATCACCATAAAATTCCATAAAATCACCATAAAATGCCATAAAATTCTATAAAATCACAATAAAATTCCATAAAATCACAATAAAATCCCCATCCATAAAATCACCATAAAATTCCATAAAATCACCATAAAATTCCATAAAATTCCATAAAATCACCATAAAATTCCATAAAATTCCGTAAAATTCTAAATAATCACCATAAAATCCCATAACATCACAATAAAATTCCATAAAATCACCATAAAATTCTAAATAATCACAATAAAATCCCATAAAATCACCATAAAATTCCATAAAATCACCATAAAATTCCATAAAATCACCATAAAATTCCATAAAATTCCATAAAATCACCATAAAATTCCGTAAAATTACAAATAATCACTATAAAATCCCTTAAAAAATCACTGCTCAATTCGAATCATAGCGCGCCAAGGATCGAAAACTCGATCCGTCCATGGTTCTTGGTGTCTTGGAAGGGCTGACATGCAGCCTGCTTTGCAGCGACGCACAGCGACGCAGGGTCGCAAACAGGCATTGCTTGTAAGATGTTGAGGATTAATACAAGGTGGTGCCCCATAGTTAGCTAAGTTGGTTTAGAAACTCCAATAACTATGGTTTTTGTTGGTGATATATCTATAGTTAATGGGAATATAAACCATTGTTTTTTTTACCCTCTGGTTATGTCAAAATAGCTATTGAAAATGGCCATTGAAATAGTGAGTTTTCCCATGAAAAATTGTGATTTTCCATAGTTATGTTAGTTTACTGGAGGGTAAGATGTTGAGGATTAATACTCATTCACATAGCTATGAGATGATTAGTGTATACTATGTTGCCATTTAAATGTGTATATCCATATATGATATATATATATATATGTCATAATAACGTAGATAATATATACAAATAGAAATATATGTGCATATGAAATGATATATAAGCATTGTAAACGTAAATTATAATATACATAATTAATCATAACTACATATATAAAATACATAAAGGTTCTGAGAGGTATTGGATATTCCTCAGATTCTGGGGCTCCAAAATCGCGAGTTTCGCTCATGATTGTTGTGGCTTGGCCCTTTTTAGCATCACAAGCAGCACGAATACAGTAAACTCTACCCACCAAATTCAGGAATACAATGAATACAACAGTTGCTATGGTCAATATCCACTATGTTTAATGTTTATTCCATATCATCGAAGATATAATCCATTATCAATACTAGATCCATGATCAAATTGCATTAAAGTCTCATTAAGACTAAGACCCGATTTATTTGCTTTCTAGTTGGTATGTGCTTCATATCCATGGCAACCGTCGAGAAATTTCTTGCTCACCTGCAGTCGCTGCAGCGAGGGTTTCCTGATCAATTGAAGCCATGGAGTTTGTGTCAGTGGATTGGTTTCCTGTAGATTTTCTCTTGAAGCAATGCATGAATATAAATGAATACTGGTTGATGGTATACCTATCCCTCTGAAAAATATGAGTTCGTCAGTTTGGATTATGAATTCCCAACTGAATGGAAAATAAAATTCATGTTCCAAACCACCAACCAGAATATAAATGAATCATTGGACATGCACAACTATTGGTTGAGTTGATTCTATGGTGATTTGCAGAGCAAACATATCCAAATGTAGGTGTTAGACAAAGGTTGACAATAAAGGGTGAGTGGTTTTCATGATTTATTGCTTGTGAAATTTGGCTGATACATGCTTATACTACCTACTGGGGATAACCAACCATACAACCCACAATAGGCATACCTACCAACCCACCAGTACAACATGAGGGGATAGAGGTGTGTGTGTGTGAGCTCAAATGAATTCTTTAGGGGATTTTCCAGCAGATGAGATTCACAGACTATCAGACTGGGGTTATATGTAACTTACCAATAGATGGTTAATAAGTCCTCAATAGATAGTCAATAAGCTGGTGAATCAGCCGCTCATACATTCAGAATAATGTATATTCAGACAAACTCATACTCATATGTCCTATCCCAGATGCTCCATGGAATAGTTACCAAAATTTACCACCAACATCACCCATCTCTGTAGCTTATATATATATCATACATAGAGCTTGTGGGCATCAAACAATCCCATCATATCCCAGAGATAAAATGATCAATGGGAATTCCAGGATCCAATACATGGAGGTACGTTAGTACCATATAAGGACATCTGGTTGGTGGTTGAGCCACCCCTCTGAAAAATATGAGTTCGTCAGTTGGGATGATGACATTCCCCAGCGAATGGAAAGTCATTAAAAATTCCATGGTTCCAAACCACCAACCAGACATATTTTGTAGGGATGTTCCCTGAAACATAGGCCTTTTATATATATGCCTGATATATGGTTAGTTGATCTCTCCATTGCCGTGAAAAATCAGTTTTTTTTTCAGATTTGGACCTGAAATTCTGCCTGGAATACTGGGCTTATCTGGGGTTATATTAATGGGAATATGATGGAATATGGTGATATTCATGAATCATGAATCATGAATCTAGGAATCATGAATTGGAATACTGGAGTGGGCTTCTTTCATATGTGCCATGGGTCAGAACCGGTTGTTTCATGGTTTTTCTGGGTTCTGGTAATCCAAGGGAATCCTTATGTTGGTCAGTATCACATTCCCTTTTAATGGTGCTATGACCATCAAGTACGATTCGTGTTTTTTCCAAGTGCTGATGCATGGAATATGCCAAGGGACATAGCCATCGATTTCTTTCAAATAGGCAAAATAGTGGCCTTGACATGCGTGAGATCATCGTCAGCAAACTTGGATAAACGTGGATAAGCATCAACCGCAACTAGCCATGGCTAACCGTAACCCTTTTCTGACTCAAACCGCTGATTTTTCGAAGGCGACAAGGGTTTCTTCACCATGTTTTACAGAGGTTGAAATCTGCACAGTTTTCGACCTGCCGGGATGCGTATGGAGATAGGATTGATTAGGATCGTCCTTCTTTGAAAATACATGGATTTATGGTGTCTGGAAATTCAACAGCTTCATGGAAGGGCAAATTGCAGGAGACTCGAATATTAGATTTCACATTCCCGCTCCAGCTCAAAGGTACGTGTCTCCCTCAAAAAACATTGTTTTGCCCTAGATTTAGTATATTATATGGTTTGGATTGCATAGGTATATGTATGATGAAGCTCAAAGCTACCTTGCTGGCTCAGTGCCACGTAGCTGGCTCAGCGCCACGTAGCTGGCTCAGCGCCTCGTAGCTGGCTCAATTTTTTTAGCGAAAAAAAAAACTCCGCAGAAATTGAGCCAGCTACATGCCCTTGAGCCGGCTCGATGGCCCGTCATCAACCCGGCCAATACATAGTTAGTATTCGTTTTGATGCTCTCACATTCGTCCGCCAGCTCAACGTGACGTAGCTGGCTCAATTTTTTTGGCGTTTTTTTTTTTCGCTTAAAAAATTGAGCCAGCTCGATGCCATTGAGCTAGCTCGATGTGTCTGAGCTAGAGCGATGTGTTTGAGCTAGCTCGATGGTGCTGAGCCAGCTCGTTGCAGTTGAGCGAGCTCGCAGAAACTTCCCAATGTGTTAAATTGCCAGGTTCAGTCCCCACTGATTACTGTAGTATAGATATGGTACCTCTGAAAAAGCCCAAGGTGACTGTCAAAGACATACCCCTGATGAAATTGAGCCAGCTACATGTTTTGAGCTAGCTCGAAAAAATGGAAGATTGTGGATTCCACCATTCGATCGGAGACAAGTTTCTTTTCCAATCCCAAAAATACAGTAGTTTCCTGTAAATTCCTGCCAATTTGATTCTGGGGTTATAAATGAATACTGGTATTAAATATGGTTATAGCCACCAGAAGCTGGAATACTGCACCCTCACTAAAGCCCAACGCCAACACGGTATAAGTTGGCTTATTGGAGGTTTCCTAAAATGGGGGTACCCCCAATCAGCATCGAAAATGAATTCCTCATTTTAAGGACCCTCCCCACTTTGAAAAATTAAAAACCCTTCTCATTATTGGATAAGTGGGAAAAGTCCCACTTAGTCATTCCCATGCGCCGTTTTTTTTTACCACAACCACAAGCGACAGCCGTTGTTTCCCACAACCTCCCGATCCACTCCGAAGCACCACACTCGTTCAAGGGCAGCCCCTTGCCGTTCAGCCTTGGAGATCACTGGGCTGCAAAATTCTGGCTGAAATACCCTCTGGTAAACTTACATAGCTATTGAACATGGCCATTTAGCTCGTGGATTTACCCATTAGAAATAGTGATTTCCCATAGTTTTTGGTATGTTTACCAGAGGGTATGTTAAAAAATAACATGAAATCGTCTAAAGCCAGCCATTATGAGAGGGAAAACATGATAAACATGGGGATTCTAATCTGGGAAATTAAATTGGAATCTTCAAATGGGAGAAAATCGCCAGTAACATGGGATATCATGGGGTATCTGTACATATAATATATATATACTAAAAGTGAGAGACGAGCAACAAAAATGATCATATAATGGTGTGTATATATACATATATTATTAATTATACATATGTATATTGGGATGATATGCAAGCAACAATGGGGAATTCATCAGAACATCCCTGAAACGACCATGATGTAAAACCCAAGCATTCTATGGTGATGTTATGATGGGGATATATCGGGATATCTCATCTAGGTCAATGAGAATAGTTGACAAAGTTGAATTAAATCATTAAATCTAAACTACATGTTCGGATGGTTACCCAATCCTAGCCATTGTTCCAGTGAGGGAGAACAGTGAGGTCGTTATAAATCTTATAATTGATCAAATCTGGGTAAAACAATGTCACAGACCACCCATGACTACCAATGGTAAACATGCCACCTATATATTCATGCTGATGACTGGGGGATGGTGACTATGGCATTGTCTCAAAGCCAGTACCGAAGATATGGGTCCAATTTACCAGGCTGGAAATCAGCTTTCGTGGGGCTGGATACAAGGCAATTTTTGCCCGCCAGTTTTGTTTTGTGTTTTCCAGCGCCCTGGCGACCTTTTCTTGTGACTGAGCCATCCAACAATCCAAAAACTATGGTTGTCAATTCGGATGATCCTCTACTCTATCCTGTATCTATTTCTCTCTTTGAAAAACGATATGTGAAAACAAAAAAATGAGAACGTCGTCAACGAGTCAATGTCAGCCATAATTATCAAATATTGACTAGACATGATGCCTTGCAACTTGTAAGAAGATGTACCCTCTGGTAAACTAACATAGCTATTGAAAATGGCCATAGAAATAGTGAGTTTTCCTTTCCATTAAAAATTGTGATTTTCCATAGTTTTGGGTATGTTTACCAGAGGGTAACAAGTACCTTGCGCCAGATTTGACAGCATCGAATCCTGAAGAATCCCCATCAAATCCTGGTTGGTGATTTAGTTTCAACCCCTCTGAAAAATATGAGTTCGCCAGTTGTTCACCTTATTCCCAATTAATATGGCAAAATAAAATTCGTGTTCCAAACCACCAACCAGTAAAATATGAATTCGAGTGATTCAGGGACTTTGGTGATGGTGACGTCACTAGAAACATGCAGAAACTAGCGTGGCAGTGCTTCCCACGGCACGCAGAGCTAGAAAAAAAAATGCCACTCGACTGGTTTGTCATTCCCCTGGTTTTTTTTGGGGGGATGTTTAACAGGTTTCCGCAAGTCGAGTGAAGCTAGGATTCATGATATTCCGGAAATCGATTTTGAGTCGCTGGTCACATCTGGTAACTGTGTATCCTCATAGCATAAACGTTTCACGAAGTTCGTATCCACAGGGCGATTCCACTGATCCATTTTTTGCAGGGCTGAATCCAATCATCCACCTTAGGATACCCTAGGATCCCTAGGTACGGTTCCTCAGGGGTCAATTGGGGTAACAAAAAAAGAGGGGAAATGAACAATCTACCCATAATCCACTGGAGCAACCCTGTTAGGGGTATCCGATTTTTTGGGAAATGAACTCAAACAAATCCATTTCCCCTAAACAGGGATTTTTTAATGATTAAAGACGGATAACTGCTTTGGGTAGAAACAACATCCAACAAATAACTGCTGACGTGTGGATCGCATCACCCGGCTTTTGGAAGCGCCGCGCCAGGCCACATGCAGCTGTAGAATTCCAAGCCACCAATGCGAAACTCTCCTCCGAGTCTGCGAAGGGTCAGTTAAGGGGGGACTTGGATTGTCTGAAACGGGTTTTCCTAAGTCAAAAGCAAAATTGTCCGAGTTATTAGTCAAGTCGAATGGGGGACTATATTAAAGTTCTAGGATATCCCCAAGTTGTAACCTGAAAAAAATATGTGAGGCCTTTTCCATCCTGTACACCATTCACACCCAGGAATCTTCAAGTGCGTGAGAATATGTATATATATATATAAGAGAGAAATCTTTGCACTGCACCACCGCGAAATCGATAGCGCATAGGGGCCCCCATCGTGCCGAAGGCGATAAGGGTGTGTAGACAAAAAAAGAACCTAAGTGAAACAGAATTTCCTTAGTGAGACAGGTGTAGCACACAAAAAGGAGTCACCATAGAAATGGCCAGACAGCCAACCACGGGGACAAGGTAAGGAGACCCAGAAAGGAGGGACAGACAGGGATTAACCATATTGAACCTTCCAAAGCTGGGACTGGACGAAAGAGAGCCAAACACGGACCGATTGGACAATTTGTGGGTCTTCCCCAGCAGACCAGCCGAAGCGAGCAAGAAAGGGGGAAGCAGGACGCGCGGGGGCGAAGTGGGGACGGGAAGCACACTCCCAAAAGACATGATGGAAATGACCGAGAGAGGAGCACCCGGGCCAAATGCAACCAGCACAAGAAGGATCTTTATGTTGCCAGTGAGCAGGACTATAAGTAGCACCAAGGCACACAGTGGCAGCGGAGGCAGTAGTGGTAGCCCAATCACGAGCATCACCCCAATTGATTTTTTGAAACCAATGTAAAGGAGACGGAATTTCGAGAAGTTCGTGACGGGAGGAAGCACACCATTCTTTGAACTGATAAGCGCGCCAACCAACACGAAGCACGTGCCTACAATGGTTAATCCAACCATCGACGAGTTGAGGGGAAAGAGGAACGGAAAGATCCAATTTGACCCCCCCCAAAGGATGTTGCCAAACCCAAGGACGGACGCGAACCCAGTGACATCGGAGCAGCCAGGTATTGAGAGTAGCACAGGGACTCCCAAAGCGGAGCGACCAAGGGGGACAGCCCTGAAAGCGAAGAGAGTAACGCAACAAGGCAGTGACAAGACGAGCCGCCCAGAGAGCATCAAGATGATAAACCCCCCCGAACAGAATCGACCGAACGAAGGGAGAACTGTAGCGGGCTCTATCTGCAGCGACCCAGCAGGCCGTCCACAGTTTATCAGAGACAGTTTTGGGAGGGGACCGACAGACCCAGCCAAAAGAAGCTTTACTCATAGCGAACTGACCGACAGTCCGAAAGAAAACAGCCAGGGGAAGACCCATGGAAGACAAGAGACGGATAGTCCGACGGCAGGCAGCGACACGAGATTCCTCGTGAGACGACAGTTTACGCGGACCGGAGACCGAGACAGCACCCAGAACACGAGCACAATTGGCAACTTGCACCTGGTCAGAAAAGACATCAGAAAGCTGGGCAGCATCTTTGGGACGAGACGACACACAGACCGCCTTATTGTGGCTTTCGATCAACCCAACACGCCGACTCCAGTCATCCCAAGCAGACCAATGTGCATGAAGAGTGGGGGCGGAAGAGGCAGTGATGGTACGGTCATCGAGGTAGAGAGTAGATCGGACATCAAGATCAGGAAATAGGGACTGAACGAACCTGAGACCAGACTGGACCCACAGAGACATGATAAGAGGCCCAAGGGGGTCTCCCTGGGGTTGAGCAGGGCCTTTGAGAAAATGCTTGTGGGTATTGTATTTCCAACACAAGAACCGTTCTTGGGAACCCCAAAGGTTACACAGAAAATTGACAAGCTTAGGATCCCAATTATGAGCGAGAAGAAGTTCCTTAGTAACCTTAGGGTCTAAGGTGTCGAAGGCTTTTTCATAATCCAATGCCAAAAGAAACCCTTTTTCTTGAAAGTCACGGAAGATGGTAATCAAGTGGACGTACAGATCATCATGCTTCATAGAAGCGATTTCCGGGGAGAAGTTTTCCCGAACCCACCTTTGGAAAGCAGGAGTCTTATAGAAACAGGAAGCCCAAAGCCGCCAAATGGAAGACATGATAGTCAAAGGTCTACAATGTTCAGGGGAGACCAATCCATTGGAAATTTTATTGGCTTTAGGAATACAGACCATCCTAGCCTGCAAAAATTGTTTGGGGATCTGATTGCGATCGATCGCTTCGCTAATGAGTTGAGAGACCAGCTGCCACACTGGAAGAGGCCAGAATCGCAATTCTTGTCCACACCAGCCATCACAGCCCGCCGCACCGGCAGCGCTTTGCGCGTACCGACAGAGTTCGATTCCAGTTGGGGTAGGAAACTGAACCATTTGTTGAGTAGCAGGCACACCTTGACGAATAGTGTTACACCTCTCATCTAAAGGGGGAAGAGTACTTTGGTGGTTATCCCAAAAATCAACCCAGAATTGGTGGATGATATCAGTTTCCTCAACAACATCCATAGCAACGGTACCCGCAGCAGTGCGCACGGCACAATTGCCCGGAGCTTCACGGGCACGGAGCCATTTCGAAAGAGCGGACACATTGGTTTTCATGGCATGTTTCCATCGGGAAATATTTTGATTCCTAGTCGCTTCTTCTTGTCGATGAAGCTCAGTCTGCAAGTTGTGAATCATGTTAGTACACATCAAGACAGTAGGAATATCTTCATTGGGAAACAACTCTCTCAAGAGCTGTTGCTTTTCAAGCTGTTGGTTCGGAGTAAGGGCTTGGCTACCTTCTTTGATGAGCCATCGCCGAAGAGAGAAGAGCCGGGCTAATTTACAACGCATTTTTCGCTGGTCGATGTGACCAAGGTGCAGAGCCGGGCCATGGCACGGCTGAGACATGGGAATCACTTGTTTGACAGCTCCTTTTGAACTTAAAGCAGCTTTAGAAAAACGTTTATCAGGCTGAACACTGCGAAAAGCAATACGAAACGTTTCTTGAAGCATCCCTTGCAAAAGGTCCCATTTTTGCTGAAGAGGAATTTGAGGGTCGTCAAAAGGCATGCGAGCGGCAGCATGACGAGTGACTTGGTTCCACGCACGTGAAACTTCTTCTCTCCACCTTTCAGGTCCAATGGGTTGAGGACATGGAAACTGAGGACCCAAAACAATTTTCCCACAAAGAGGAGAAAACTTAGGAGCACTAACCCACAAGGAAAGTATCTTGTGATCACTTAACGCAAGTGGAGAAATTTCAACATCGGAGCACAATTCGGGATTGGAACCAACGAAAAAATCGATTTCTCGCTCTCCTTCCCACCGAGTGGGCTGCCCTGAGCTAATCAGGGAGCCCCCCAAAGAGGAAGCAACATCGAGGAAATGCGAATCTTTGGGGATTTCATTGTAGTCTCCTCCAAAGCACCATCTGTGAGAACCAACGTTGTGGGTGGCAATCAAGCACTCAGTCAACAGATTCGCAGCGGCATTGGGGGAGCCTACTCGAGGAGGGGCGTAAATGCTTCCAAGAAGCCATCCAGAGATATACACTGAAACAAGTTGGGCATCATCGTTGCCAGCTTGGAAAGCAAGTCGGTGACGAAGCTGGCGCTTCACCAACACCAGGGTCCCACCGCAAAAATCCCTGAGACCACCAGCGGTCGGGGCACCCGGTTGGTGATAGCAGCAATAGCCTTTCTTATAGATCCATTTTGAAAAGGCCAAGGCTTGGTCATGATTAAAAGAAGCTTCTTGAAGTAAGGCAACATCGGGAAGTTGACGCACCAAACAGTTGTTGGCAAACCGCCAGACGCCAGGGGCGCCCTGAGTGTTTAAAGAAACCACATGAAGGTTGTCACAAGGGCCAGGGTTCGAAGCTTCGCCAATTCTCTTGGCCTTGTGCGGGTCATGAGACCGAATGCGGGAAGCCTGTACACGGATCCATTTCTTAGCAGACTCTGTGATTTTATCACAGCGAAGTTGGGAGTCGATTTCTTCCATGGACCTGCCAGCCGCTTGAAGAAAAATCTGAGCACCTTCAGGGTTGTCACGTTTGAGGTTATTCCACCAAGTACGCTTGCAGCGCACGATCTGAAGGTTGGTTTCAAGTTCTCGTTGGCGCGCTTCACAGTTCATGTCTGACTTGACGCAACTCTGACCAGTGAGTCTGGCAAAACACTTGGTACAGTAAGTGGCGTACCAAATCCGTTTATCCTTACTAGGTCGATTCCCCAACCGAGAAGGTGTGGGGGTAAAAGGGATCCGAACCATGGAATGAGAGGAAAACTGTTCTTTCAAAGCCAAGGAACGTTTACGGCTGGTCTCAGCCGTTTTGGGACGCGAACAACCTTTGAGGGATAAGTAATAAATAGAAGCAAGGGTATGTTCGGGATGGTGTTCTTTCAAATGAGCCAAGATGGAGCGCTTTCTCTCTTGACTAGCTAGCTGAGGGAGTCCAACGTTACAAATGGGGCATTCCCAAGCTCGTTGATTTTTGGGCAGCAAGCTAGAAGGCTGAATAGCAGGTTCCTTGGTCGAAGTATACAGCTCTTTAGGAATTTCAGGGTGATAGGTACGCATGTGGTAAATCTTGGAAGCAATCATTCCACCATACGTGCCCTTGAAATCTTGATGGCATTCGGGGCAAGTCCAAGTAGCGGGCCTTTTGGGATCAGCCTTAGCTTGTCGAAGCGGTCGGACCGTCTGCTTACCATTCAGGCGACGCTTGGGCACAACTGAGGTCTTAGGGGGACCTTTTTTGGGGGGATTAAGGGAAGGATCCTCAGGGTCAACAGAATTAAGAAAATCCAGCCCGTCAGCAATGGTCCCCTGGTCAGCACTAATTTGAAATTTGGAAGAAACAGCACCATTGGTCTTAGCAACATGTTTCAAGTTTCGAGAATTCAACGTCTTGCTCGCAGGCTTTTTCAAGTGGGCCGCTCCAGGTGAGCGTCGGAAGCCATCTTTTCGTTCAGCCTGGTCGTCCTTTTTGAAGACCTTTTTTGAGTGGGCAGTGTGGCGTATAGAGGGTGCACCA